CCCCCCCCCCCCCCCTGGATCCGCCCTTAAGCCATGGCATGACTGATTTCAGCCTAGTGGTTGTTTTAGGGTTTGATCTGTGAGTTAGTCATGCCCTGACTTAGATCAGCCCAGAGGTTGTTTTAGGGTTTGATCTGTGAGCTAGCCATGCCCTGACTTAGATCAGTCCAGAGGTTGTTTTAGGGTTTCATCTGTGAGCTAGCCATGCCCTGACTTAGATCAGCCCAGAGGTTGTTTCAGGGTTTGATCTGTGAGTTAGTCATGCCCTGACTTAGATCAGCCCAGAGGTTGTTTTGGGGTTTGATCTGCGAGCTTACCATGCCCTGACTTAGATCAATCCAGAGGTTGTTTCAGGGTTCTATCTGTGAGATAGCCATGCCCTGACCTAGATCAGTCCAGAGGTTGTTTCAGGGTTCTATCTGTGAGTTAGTCATGCCCTGACTTAGATCAGCCCAGACGTTGTTTTAGGGTTTGATCTGTGAGCTAGCCATGCCCTGACTTAGGTCAGTCCAGAGGTTACTTTAGGGTTTGATAAAATAGTTTTATTTTATTTTTTCGTTACAGAGAGCAAATTGATCGTGAGCAAGCCCTAGAGGACTTTAAGACAGGACGTGCACGCATCCTGATTGCAACTGATGTGGCATCACGTGGTCTAGACATAAAGGACGTAACGTATGTAACGCAAGCTACTTGTACCCTTCGTTGCATTGCTTTGGATGTCATAAAAGTTGTAGAATGCAAGAATACCAATGTACATAAAATAATCCTCCAGACGGGCAGGTCATATGGTGTATTTTTTATAGTAACTTTACACACTCTGTCACAAAACTGTCACGCACAGCAGAACTAAGAGATATTTTCCATCACACATGTAATGTGTCTGTGACACTCTGTGCACTGGTCTCAGAAGTTTGTCGCGCACATCTAGGACGATTTAGCAAAATAAATGCAAGGTTATATGCCTGACGCTTCGATCGTACATGTATATGTAGCACTTGTAGATTAATCTCATGAATTGTCACGCACATCTCACTGCCACGCCCATTGCCACAGGAATGTCGCATTACTTGTACTGTAAGACTATCTTCATTTTCGCTTGTTTTGCAGATTCGTGTTGAACTATGATTTTCCACGTGGTATAGAAGACTATGTTCATCGTGTTGGACGAACAGGAAGAGCTGGGTATGTTCTTCAATCAACGAATTGTGTTTTGATTGCTTGCTGTAATTGATTCAGTATTAATACCGAGACATTACTGGAGTTTCCGTATTTGTAGGGACATTTTAGGGACATTTTAAGAGTACACCAAAGGCTTTATAATAGATTCTCGTTTTTGGACGTAACGTTTTCCCATTTTAAATCTTTTCAACGTAAGTTTATTTTATTTGAGTTTATATTTTAACAACTCAACTCAAACAAAGAAACTTTAGTCTTTTAGGCTTCAAATGAGTAAACATTACACCCAAAATAAAAGAGTCCGTATAGACCCTTGCATGTGACGTCAAAGAAGCTCAATTTGGAGGACAAAACAAAAGAATTTCATTCTGCATTCCGACGGACTGTAAGGGGTCTATTTGTTCTAGTAAGACAGAAAAAGGAAAGTTATTTGCAAGAAAACGGAACGCGGTCTGAAATTAGAAAACATTAGTCTAGAGGAAAGAAAATCATTTCAAGTCAAATGTATTAAAGAGTTTGTTTTATTTATGTAAAGGCGGACGGGTACAGCATTAACCTTCATAACAAGAGCAGACTGGGGCTATGCAAGTAAACTTATCAAAATCATGCAACAAGCTAACCAGGTAGGCGTCGTTAGTAACAATTAAGACCTTTGACATCAGGTTTACCGCTAACCGTTAGGGATCAGGCCTAGAAAGACGCCCGGAAACACGGAGAAACACTCAGCATCAATGAAATTCATTACGGCGACTCTTCCAGGAAAACCAAGATGACAGCCTGTACACTGCTCGCTCCGCCTCCCTTGGAAGAATCACTTTGACCTTAATGTTATATTTACGATTTTTATAGGTAATACCAGATTTTTTGGAAGATATGGCACAAAGATTCGAAGAGCGTCGTGAAAGGAATGGCTATGGATCACGTGATGGTGAAAGAAGGAGTGGTAAGAAAAGGCGATTTTTTATTTGGACTTAGGGTAAACAGTATCACAAAACACGATTACTCAAGTGTTAGGGTACTCGTGAAACTCACTTCAGCAAGTTAGGCTTCCTCGTAAAACATTTATTATTTATTATTATAAGAACCTTATTTGTTTGCCCTTGCTGTTGGGACTGGGGACGAGGGTAGCACTTAATAGCCCCGCAGTGACTAACAAACCTGTGGCCCTTGTTCCATCGAATAGACCGTTTTCTCAAGGTTGCGTGCGCATCTAACTTAACGGGCCACTTAACTGAAAAATTTGATTTGAAAAATTCTTATCGAAAAATCTAATAGAAATGTATGATAATTCTCATAGAGCTCCTGTTCTGGTATCATGGCCCGTTAAGTTCCTTAAATTTGGATGCGCACGCAATCTTGAGAAAACGGTCTATTGAAATTTATGAATTGATTTTTGTGGAGGAAGGAGAACCCGGAGAAAACTCCTCAAAGCACAGGAGAGAACCAAGTAGCAACTCTATTCGTGTAAAACACCGAGCCCAGTGGGACTGGAACCCAGGTCGCATTGTTGTTAAGCGATCACTCTCACCACTTTAAAAACTAACCACGCCCTATTTCTATTGTTTGATGTCGGGTTTAAATTTCGATGGAAGGCCTGTCCCGGGGTTTGAATTAACATTGGTACTACCAAAAGAGAGCAGGGCTGAATTCAAAACCAGGGGCAGGTTTTCCATCGAAATCCAAACCACCATCAAACATTAAGAATAGGTCTTGGTTGTCTTTTAAACCAGTTAAAACGCACGTGCTCGGATTTGCATTGAAATTCAAGACCTCGGGCCTGCTGCCCTCGATTTCGAATTTCAATGCAAACCCTCGCACTAGCGTTTTAACCTTTATATACTACCTGTGCTTTCCTATCACTAAACAATAGAAAGCCATTGAACATGGGGTCTGTTACTCATTGTTTTTATTTGTTTGCTGCAGGTGATGGATGCTTCAAATGTGGCGAACAAGGTCACTTTGCACGAGAATGTCCCACCGCAGGCGGTGATGGCAGAGGAGGTGGCCGTGGAGGTGGCCGTGGAGGTGGTCGGGGAGGTGGCCGAGGAAGAGGAAGGGACAGTTATGGGGATGATTTCAGTGGCTTTATCGAAGGGAGTGGGTTTGACTCTGAGTATGGTCGCAGAGGTCGGCGTCAGAAGGATTATGGTGATTGGATCTAAGGTCTTGTGTTAAGAAAAAACACAGTAGGCCATGAAAGACGTCGTGTTCGGCATTCCTTATATGTGCACCATTGGTAAGAATGCCTGTTCGGTACGTATAGCTCTTATCCCAAATACCAAACATGATGTTATTACTATGTGCTATTAGCTCCATTGATTGACGAGGCCGAGGCGTTTCGATAATCCCTTGATCGTGGAAAAGTGCACAGAAATATTGAAAAATGTGAACCATTAAGTATCCGTATAAATTACTGTTAATTGACTTGGAACATCAAGTCYTTACTTGTAAGGAAGCATTTTTTACGGGGGTGGGGGAGTAAAGTAATACCTTCTCAGAAATATTCTTAATAGCCATTTAAAAAAAGGTTTGTGAAGGCTCTGCTGCATTTTGCTTACTAAGCTTGAAATGTTTTATATTTATATGTAAATAATGTCAGCACTGAAGAAATTATGGAGGAAAATGTGCAGAAAAAGCTTGAGAAAATTCTATAGACCATTTTAATTATACCCCACAATGCTTTATTTTCCGCTTTTGACGTCAAATTTATCCTTCTCAATTTCATTTCAAACACAAAAATTTTTTTTAAAAATTTGAAACGTGGAAAATAAGGCATGGTGCGATTTATTAGAAGGGTCTATATTTTGCATTTTGGGCATGGTATAAAACTTGCAACATAAACCTTTAGCAACCTTTTTTTGAATTAGCTAAATCCCTCAACCTTACCCCCGAAACTGATGCCAATGCTTCTGTTTACGTGGTATTGCCTGCCATTCACTGGAATTAAATTTGTTGATATTGTATTCAAAATTCTAAAAATGTTTATTTCGTTAACGTCGCAATCGCTGCCACCAGCTCATTCTTGATTGCGCATTCACGAACTGGACACTGTAAAACTTTTTTGAAACAGTGGATAGTAAAGTCATAGTTGATCATCAAGTGCCCTCCTGTCGCAGACACTTTGAAGGAGCAACTATTTTGCATATCAGAGTAGTTCTAAAATAATACAGCAGGATTAGTACAGGCAGTTAGTGGGTCTATTGAGAAAGGTTAAGAAAATGTCCCTGATTGGGGAAGACCTTCCCACCACTGACTTGGAAAAATCACTTATCTCTACCCCCTCCCCTTAAAAAAAGTAATGCGAACACAGGTCCCTCCTTTATGCATTTCATTATTAGCCATTACGAGGATTGAGAAAAAACTGGGTCGAGTTTTCATTGCAGTGCATTGTGGGGCTGTCCACTAAAATACCAAAAAAGCACTGCAGTACCAACTCGACCCAGTCTTTTCCTCGATTTCGGAGTGGCTAATTAACTAAACAAGAAGTTGTATTTATAAAAAAAATACATAATTTATGATTCAAAGAATATATTTTATGACGAGTACGTGTAAATCAATCATAAGTACATTATCTGCAATAAAATGTTTCAATGTTGCCAATATCTTCCCGCGCTGTCCTGCAAGACAATGCTAAACACCGAGCAACAAGCTTGGGCAATAAAATGTCTTCTCTGATTACTTCAGTTTTTAACCACTGACCTTATAAGGTATTGTTTGACCGCCGGACCTGGGAGTTACTTACGTCAAACGAGGCCTTCTATTTTTGTGGTATTACGACAGACTCGTAGCCAGTCGTCAATCGTCGCTTAAGTTTGTTCCTTCGAAGGCGTCAAAGGAAGAAAGGTTTTGGGAAAGAAGGAGAAAAACATAATCCTTCCAATCAACCACAGTGCGAGTAAAAGAAGCAACTTGGTTCGAGTCCGTGGTTCCTTTTGTCAAGATGATATGCTGCTAAAAATAGAGTGATTATTCACTGGAAAAACGTGATTGTGTGACCTGAACAGTGATTAATAGTATTTATGACCTATATCTAGCTCAGCTTATTATTGGCTAAATATGGTCATGCAATTTGTGCAAATGTTAGGACCACCGATCTCTCGAAACATGCGCCATTTTCATCCATTTTCCTTGTGATTTTTAATTACATTTTCTCTTGCAAGCTTTATACAATTTTATCCGTTTGTGTCTTCGTTGAATCTCCAGAAATCCCTTTCCAATGGCCTTTGAATCCTCGTCACATTGTATGGCCTTTGATACTTGCTATCTTTATTACTGAGTTGTTTGACGTCAAACAATCCAATTAAACTAATGCTATAATTCCTAAACTTGTTTATGGGCCTTCAAGAGGTTGTTAAAAGTATTTTCTTCTTAAAAATATGAATTCCGAATGCGTGTAGGATAAGAAAATCTAAACACGAAAACGTTAGTCGCGAAGTTTGGTCACCTCTGATCTCGTTCCATAGCTATATTCTTTTTACAAATCTTGTCTTCGTATTTGATCTGTGAGATATTTTGCCATAACCATGAGACAACAACAAAATAAGTACCAACACAATGGAATGCAATTAATTATAATTAATTTTTTATTCTTATAAACAAATACATAATCTTAAATGAGTCAATGGAAATTACATTTGGCGTTACTATTTCTGGGTCAAGCAACATGGTTCCATGCCTCTGACTGATCTCTCTAGGGTCAGTTTAATTATTAAAAGTACAATAAAAAATCTGTCTAAAGTCTAAGGAGTTAGTAAAGTCTCTTGTCATTTTTTGCGATAGTTCACTAATTTATTCAAGATTTTGTTCCACCAACTCTGCCATGTCTTCCATTTCTTTCTCGACTTCAACTTTCTTTCTTCGGAATTCCTCTATTTGGACACTCTGCTCGTCCAGTTGTCGTTCTAGTGGGGCGCACCTTCTTTCGGTGTCCTCGGCTTGTGATAGGAGCTCTTTGAGCTGCTCTTGCAAGAAGGCGATTTTTTCTTCGGCCTCAGCCTCGTAAACAGAAGCGTTGCTGTCCTTCTCTTCCAGTGTTTTCATGTGACTTCCAGCTTGATCGACTGTATGTTGGAGCTTTTCTAACAGCACTTCTGCAGCATCAGCACGAGTTTTTTGCTTCTCGAGCTCGCTTTCGGTCTGTTGTAGTTTTTGCATGATTTCTATATTCCGATGGTCGTATTGGTCAGCTTCTTGAGTCGCTTCCTTTAACTTCTCCTCGAGTTCGTTGAGCCTCTCGTCTCCTTCCAACTCCACACCTTCGAGCTCTTTCACGCATTCTCCATCAGCTTCTTGTTTCTCTTCCAGCGACTCCAACCTTGATTTCTTCTCATCCAGATTTTTGAGACTTTTCTCGAGGTCCTTTTCTATTAAATTCATTCGTTTTTGCATCGAGTCGAGATCCGATTCATGTTGGTATGCTCTCGTCTCAGCATCCTTCAACTCGGCCTTCGCCATGGCTTCTCTTTCCTCCGCTTCTTCGATTTTATCCTTCAGCGCTTGCATCTTCTCGCGGACCCTGTCCATCATAGAAGTTGTAGCAGTCGACATGATGAATCCCTTTGATGCTTTCCCTCCAAAGACAAAAACCAAAGACAATAAAATAGAACTCGGAGAAAGGAGCGAGACTTGAAGTGGCTCAAACTCTGACTACAATGTAGTACTATGTCACTTATGTCCGTGGCTATTAACTTTGTTCCAAGGAATGTCAAGAATTTTGAGGAGCGCCTTAAAACATTTCAGTCTGCATAATAGTATCAGTTATAAAACTCTATGACCTAAGATGACCCCATCTACAATTAGTATTACATGTTACAAATACTGCAGAATTCTTTTTCCGTTATTCTTTTACACAAAACAAGTAAAATGCGCATCATACAGCTTAAAAAATCAAGATATTTTGCGTTTTCTAAGTCACGATCGATCTCCAGGCAGAATGTCAGTTGTTTCTACTACTTTCATTCTAATAATATCAAAAGCTGTTTTCGTGAATGAAAGTCACAGAGAGTATCGTCTTACATCGGCAGAGAAACATAGCATGTCCTATTTATCAATCTTCCTAATATTTTGCCTATATTAGGGTTTCCTGATTACTGTTAGTTGTACAAAACGACTTTTTTGTTTCAATTAGTTCTACTGATTGCCACATAGAGACATGCAAATACACAGCTGCTATTCAACATTGAATGGCTTTGGCATCGACTGACTTCAGTTATAAACCTATCAATCACACGATCCCTATAGGAATACGCAAGACTAGTTTGGAACAAGCTTTCCTTGATAAAATAATCATTGCAACTTTACAGGAATATGCAAAGAAACGAAAGCTTTTCAGCGGTAGCAATTTTAGATGTTTGTTTGCAAATTTCTTAGAGTTTGTGAGTCCAGCATTGAGGTATGATAGGAATGATAGTGGCTAAAGCATCTTCTACTGTTTCGTCACGGAAGTCACGCTCTATCAATGAGAGCTCAAGAAGATAAGAATTTGTGGATCTGTAGGTTAAAGTACAATAAGTGAGGGGAAACCTAGAATACCGCTAGATTTCAGTTCGCGAAAAATTCAAACTAACATTACCCATAATTCCTTTCAAGGTTTAAGATCGACTCATCTTGGAAAAGGAACGCAGTGGAAAGCAGGTGGGGATTGGGCGAAATGCGAGAGTGACCTCCCCATTACCGAATAGTTTATTTGTAATGTCACGTAATTTGTGAGTAGTCGGTGTAGCGCATTATGGGAAGAAAGAGTGTGAAATACCGACTAATATACAACGGACTTTCCTGCATTTGGCTGTATTTTCTGTGGTGTGGGATACGTGCCTGCATTAATTGCAAAGTAGTATTTCGCAAGTTAAACATTTAAAGGCTCGTGTATATATATATCTTTATTATCATCTTTAATCTAACGAGAAATATCATAGTTTCTTTGTACAACCTGTTTTACTAAAGTATCTATATTCATAATAATGAATCAGTATATACAGTAATAACTGATAACTAAGATCATTCCTACACGGGAGACTACAGACTGCTATGTTTCGTTTATAATATTTTCTTAGTAAGTTCAGTTCCAATAGAAGATAAGTTATTTTTACAGGGGCGGATCTAGATCAAAGAAAGGGTGGCCAGAAAAAAAGGGTGGGTCGGGAAACGTCCTGAGAGAAAACCTGCAAGACCGTATGCAAATACAATTACGTTTAAATAACTGAAATACATCACTTAAAAGAAAGGCCGTGGCCCGCTAGTGGACCCACCCCTAAATCCGCCACTGTTTCACTTTAAGAATGTTGCTGAGTCAGTTAAAAGCATGAAATAAATGCATCGCCAAGCAATAACAGCTGTTACTTTCGTTGAATAAGAGTATTGTTTTAACTGCAGGTCTGCCGTCATCTGTTTAAAATGTGCTTCTTCAAAATGTTGGCTTCATTAGTTTAGCCGTCCTACTGAAGCATCATAGCCTTTTTTCTTTTTTTTTTTTTAGTTTTTCAATCTTTTAAGATGCGCAAAATAAACCTGTAAAGCATGGCACTAATACAACTGTAAATGTGCTACTAATATAAAAACCTTGCAGGCATTAAGTATTTGTAATCTTTGTTACCTTATGATAGCTGCGCCACTGGTAACTAATGAACTTTACGGCACGGTATCCTTCCTTACGAAACGAAGTGGCTTAAGCTTCTTGCGTATGGATAAATAAGTAAATACTATAATCTTTGGATGTTTGGCTTACGAGCCTTTTTTTAAAGTTAATGCTCTTTTCAAACGTTTTCGAAGAAATCAGTGGGCGCACCGTTTTCCCCATTTGAGAAGGGGCTCTATTTTGTCCTACAATTTGCTCCCTCTTAAAAAACATATTCATACAGGGTTCAAACTTGAAAAGGGTTTTTTTATTTTAGAAAACCCATCACTCCTTCGCGGGTGCACCCAAGTTTAAGCTGCCCTTCGTCTGAAGCACTTGTCAATCGGCTATATTGTTTTGCAGCAAAAGTAATAAGAAAGGATAAAGTGATATTTACTTTAGTAATCAACTAAGTTAGATTCTCGATCTGCCAAAGCTACTGAATGAAATAGCAGTTGATGACTGGAGAATTATCAGTCGCTTATTTGCACATATGGCATATGGGCGAATGGACCCATCTAAGAAAGAACTTGGATGAGAGTCTACTAGGAAAATTCCAAAGAAATCACACTTTCTCGATGGAATTTGTGGTATTGCTTTTGTATTTCCATGTTAGCCTCGCATTCAAGCCAATTTTGAGATGGGCCATTGCAAATAAAAAGCAGTGATACAGAGAGAGAGAGAGAGAGAGAGATCAGATCTTTAACACTCCTCTCCTCTCTAACTTCTGAAGACTGCATGCTGCCATGCGATCGCACTCGATTCATTTACTCATCTTTTTCTAATGTCAGTGTTGCAGCAAACTTAGATAAATCCCCTTTTCATTAACCACATGCAGGGAGCCCAATTTAGACATAATAGTTTTCCTAAATGATTACGTATTTGCGGTAAAAAGGTGTGCGAAAAAATTTTTTGTTATGCATCTTTGATTAATCTTTTCAATCGTTTGCATTATGTAGGACATGATCTTGACCTCGAAAAAAAATTCTTTTTTTCACCTTATATCTTTATCTAAATTGGGCTCCCTGTGCAGTTACGCAATTTCACATGACTAATTTCAAAGAAGCTTCTGCGAGATGAAGCAATGTTTCATTTAAAAGTTGCAGACCAAGATTCAACCTTACGATGTAAGAGCGGATAAAATCAAACATGTACATTTATTGTTCTGATGTCCCTAAAAGATTTGATGATGCCAGTTTGTAATTGTTTTCTGGCATAAAAGTCAGCTATAGTACAGACTCGACATTCTGCGTATGCTCATTTTGTGGGGTAAACCTCCTTTGCTATTTCTAGCTGATAACTACTGGCTCTAAGTCCCTATTTAGCGAGACTTACACCAGAATTCGGTGACTTGAGTAGCCACTTTTAATAATTTAGCACTCCATTTTTACTCTGACGGCTTAGTTTGCTTTATCTCTCGATTCTTAATATTGATGATATCCACGGAACAAAGTGACTGACGTTGGAATATACACCATACTTGTGTGGAAGTGCACATTTTTCTCCCCAGCTAATAATACCTGCCAATATCCACCGTCCACTCTCTAATGAACACATTAGTGGGCCACCGCTATCATACGCACAGGCATCAATGCCACCTTCTTTGAAACCAGCACAGACAAATCGCTTGCTGATTTTTCCTCCGTAAGATCTGTGAAAGAAGTAATACAGTTTATTAAAGACGCGTTGGATTGGTAATAATTGTCAGTGATAACCGCCGATTGACGCTTCCATGCGTCGGCGGAAGACCACTTTTGGGTCTAACTACTGGGTCGTCTTTATGGCATCATCTTCTTCATTAAACTCTCTTTTTCTTCTACAAATATAGGAGTGGGAAAAATTTTTACCCCAAGCAAGTGCGTATTCAAGAGGTCCTTATGTGCCTGTGAACCGGCTCTTTTCCCATTGCTAGTTTATCAGTTATGTGCATGTGCTTTTGAAGCGCAGAGGGAAGAATGATGCTGAGGTTAGTTTGAAAATAACCCTCTCTTGGTAAAATATATTGCTATTTTCATTGCTACGCGGCGTTTATCGAGACAGCAGTCGAGACAGGGAAATCGGGCAATAGACTAATAAATTGTTCGGTACCTTAACATGAAAACAGTTGTGCTGTACCGCCATAGTCGTGTCGGTAAAAATCTTCAGTGAGTGTTAAATGTTAATCTTCTTTATTTGCATACTGACAAATTGACATACAACTACATACTCACATATCTGCATTGCAAACTGTCCTTGATACAAGGTCAACCCAGGCTGTTCGGAGGACTGGTGATACACTTCCATTCCATGACGTTTTTCCCCAACCAGCAATGGCACATCGCATGCCAGGCTTGAAAAATTTGAAATTATCAGGAAGGCAAATGGAATTAACTGTACGCCCCAGTTTGAGTGAACGATGAATACGAACTAGCGCTAAATTGGAATTTAAAAAGTAACAGTGATTAAAAGCATGATTAATATTGAAGTGCGTATTGATTGTGCAGCGCAGCACAAATAGTTTTCCAAAGTTAAACCCCAGGAAAATTTGTTTAGCTGAAGACACATGCAGGGGATAAGAGATTCTCTTCCTTCACGGTTTTTTATTTCATAAGAGTACTTATTGTTTCATATATAATAATTCTTGCTGTGTTAAAAGTAGCAAGTTTATTGCGGTACTTTGAAAGTCATGTTACATTTGCTGAATTTATTGAGTTGCCAGGGATATTGATAGCTAGGGTATACTCTAACTACCTACCCCTTGCTGTGATAATTGTACAAACAAGTTACAAACTGTTGCAAATTTATTGCGTGCGCGGTACCTCACAAGTCAAGTAACATTTGCTTACCAACATCATAGTCTCCAGGATGTGTTAAGTTGCCTGCGATATAGTTAGGGTGTACTCTGATTTCGACAACTTTAAGACGTTTTTCATGGCTCTCAACAGTTAAGAAAGAATGTTCTCCAAGCCTAACTTCCCAGTCAGAAGGATTGGTTGAAGAGAATTCGCCTGGGGGAAAATCCAAGATTGCGTGTAGTTAAACTACGAAATAGCTATAAATAAGTTAAAGAATAAATACTTCGAGCATTTGCATTATAAACTCTTTGATCTAAATACTTTATTGTGGTTTTTAAGAAATTACGGTGCCTTGTGCTGGAGTGCGTGCTAAGCGTGTTCGTGACCAAGCATTGACTGCTATCGTGAGAGCAGAACAGACCTGTTCTGAAATAGCGAACATGGTGCATTGTGGTCTAGTTTCGGTACAAAAATCTTTTGTCCATCATGTGGCTTTTATGGTGTTGTTTGTACCGAACCTAGACCTCAATGCATCCTGTTTATCGAGCTCAGAAAAGGCCTATGGCAAATTGACGATTGATCTTAAGTACCAATATATTATAACAGCCAGAGGGTACGTAGTTAAAGAAATTTCCTAAGAATTCGTTATTATTGTTGTTTTCAAATTGTACTTTTGTATAGTGTAATTTTTGTTTCTTAAGACAAGGATTCATGGTTACTAGGAAACTATGAATGAACTATCGATAAATGAGTGCCAAATTTATAAATATGCCAATCATGAATGTGGCTCGATTGAATTAACTAAATAGTATTAGACAAAATATCGTTGCCATTGGATGTTTCTTAGTCATTGTCGTGTATTCGCCCTTCGAGGCACGATTAATTGCTTATGGACCATTAATCACTCCAATTCAATGCATTTTACGTTTCCCTTTGGTAATAACTCTCACTGATTGCAAGTTGTTCAAAATCTGAAAGGAGCCATCGTGACCACGAAACAAATATTTATTCGTTTGTTTGTTTTGTTTTGTTTTGTTTTG